TAATCATATATATATAATCATATATATATATATAATCATATATATATAACCATATATGTATATAATCATATATATATATAATCATATATATATATCTATAATCATATATATATAATCATATATATATAATCATATATATATATAATCATATATATATATATATATATTTTTATAATCATACATATATATATAATCATATATATATCATCATATATATATAATCATATATATATAGTTATAATCATACATATATATATATAATCATATATATAATAATATATATATAATCATATATGTATATAATCATATATATATATAATCATATATATATAATCATATATATATATAATCATATATATATATAATCATATATATATAATCATATATATATAATCATATATATATAATCATATATATATAATCATATATATATATATTTATAATCATACATATATATATAATCATATATATATAATCATATATATATAATCATATATATATATATAATCATATATATATAATCATATATATATTTATAATCATACATATATATATATATATAATCATATATATATAATCATATATATATATAATCATATATATATATAATCATATATATATAATCATATATATATAATCATATATATATAATAATATATATATATAATCATATATATATATATATAATCATATATATATATTTATAATCATACATATATATATATATAATCATATATATATATAATCATATATATATAATCATATATATATATAATCATATATATATATAATCATATATATATATAATCATATTCATATATATATATAATCATATATATATAATCATATTTTTATTATCATATATATATAATCATATATATATAATCATATGTATATATATATATGCATATTAATGTAAGAGGTTGATAAACATTGCCAGTCTTAGATTCTGCGGTTTTTACGACACATGACCCCTCTTCCGAGATCCGTTTGACTTTCGGGGATCATCCCAATGGTCCTATGGTCCTATGGCTGGTAATGTCAACGACCCCTCAACGAATGGTGGGTACCCTCTGGTAAACATACAAAAAACTATGGAAAATCACCATTTTTAATGGGAAAATCCACTATTTCTATGGCCATTTTCAATAGCTATGTTAGTCATTACCAGAGGGTACCTAAGGTGGGTACCTAAGGTGGGTACCATTTATGACTTGTGAGTGGCATGAAAATTCATCACGAAAAAAAAGGGACCAAAAAAAAGACTTCGTGGTGATGCACCTGGGCTTGAAGAGGAATCATCACAAATATTTCTTCGGATATTTGGATGTGGTTTGATAATCATAATTTGTATCAGGGTTCAGATAAGGGGGGAGGAGTTGTGCAGAGGATTTTGATAGGTACAAGACACAAAGCATAGGGTGCGCAAGTACAAAATACAGAACACAATTTAATTTGACTCGGAAAATAATTCAAAATATGCACTACAAAAACCAATGCATCTGAAGTTGAAAAATAGCTGAAAATCGGAAATGCTAACATGAATTTTCCCAATAACATTTTGTAGTTGGGTCTATGCCATCCAAAGTTCCGACCAACATAATTTCAGTAAACATTTTGGGGGTGACGTCGTGACGTCGAACTAAATCGTACAGATTTTATGGATGCTTCAACTTCCTCAATATGTATATATATATATATGCTAACAACTACAAAATGCAAATGAGATTTTATGTTGGATGCTTCAACTAGCCAACTTGTACAACTACAAAATGCTAATGATATTTTGTGTTGGACGCTTCAACTAACTCAACATATACGACTACAAAATACAAATGAGGATTTGAAAGGAAACAACTACAAAATGAATGCAAATACAAAAAGGTTGGCCCAACTCCACTTTTTTGTACAAAACGACCCCTGGCTGGCAATCTGTACTGTAGCCCAAGTCCTCCCCTTTATGTAGCTGTTATTTGATCCCGGTTTAATTTGTGATATGGGGGGTTCCTCAAATGGGGGTACCCCAAATCATTCATTTTAATCAGATTTTCCATTATAAACCATCCATTTTGGGGTACCCCGCCTTTATGGAAACCCCCATATGGGTCTGAAAATGGACATACCAATTTATGGCCATTCTCATCTCGCCCTCCATTGCTTTCCTGGTGCTTGGAACACTCAAGCTGAAGGGCCTGAATTCTTTCGGAATCAAACTCCGGTTCCGTGAACTCCCCCCAATCATAGATAGTAAATTGGTTCCCTTCCTAGTGGTGGTTAAGATCTGCCCTTAACAAACCAAAAAGTGGTCACCAAAAAGGGGGAGATGGAGGGCTGGTTTTCGTGAGGTGTCAAAGCATCTCCATTGTCCGATGTTCGCTGCATATCATAGCTGTTCATTTCTTTCACATCCCTAAAATCAGTATATTTTTCATTACAGTATATACTTTGGCCGTTTCACCATGTTTCACCCAAAAAAAAAACAAACACCTCCGACACCTCCGTTTTTTTGCACCAAACACTCTCCATCCTCGAGGCGCACTCTTCCTTGTACTCTGCGATCTGCGTTTCCAACTTCTCGATCTCTGCGCTGAGTTCGTTGTTATACTTGAACAAGGAGAAGTTGGTGTCCTGCGGCTTGTGACCATTCCTATTGGACGTCAAGCATTGCTAAACTCAGCATTTTGTGGATCAATAGTTGGCATCTTTCACCTCAAACCACCTCACTGTCCTCGGCATCGATGAAGTTTTGCACCAGTTGATCAATGTCACAAATCCCCGTTGCAGCCTGAAACAAGACACACCTCTGGCAGATTGATGCCAACGCTGATTTTCTTGTCGACTCAAGTTGTCCAAGTTCATCTCCATATATTCATGCATATTCATGTGGCAGTGTGTCAAAACCTTGTACCCCTGTAGTTCACATCAAAATAGCTGGTAAATGGATGTTCATCCCACTAAAAATGGTATTAATAGGTATTGATCCATATCCATGTATGTTCCATATTCTATGGCTGAAATCCATGCGTAGAATCTTGGTGCAATTCCCCCAGTTTCTTGGCGATGATCCGCCTGGATGCGAGCAAAGGCCTCCTCATAACTCGCCACCTGCGGTCGATCCCATGTTGCTGCGTGAAAATTCTGTGGATGAACATATAGAAAAAAACGCTCTATTGATCACCTATTAACATCTATTAACCTATATAATACATGTGTAAATATATATATATATAATTATATATACCAGTCCTCACGCCAAGTCGGAAAGCTGCCGAGGCCGCCCCTTGGGCCGCCCTCTAGCCCCCCCCTTTTTCACGCCCCAGGGGATCCTGTTCGGCCGGGCCTTGTCCTGATTGGAGGTCATGGTCACCAAAGATTCCGTCGTGTGCCAGGTATGCCTGGCCATCGGCCATTGGCCATGACGGATCTCCCTGGATCTCCCATAGAAAAACAAAAAAACACAAAAAACCAACCATACTCCACCATTGAAATTTTGCATCCCCTCCCAGTTTTGGATGCAACTTGAGATCCCAACTTGGTGATTTTCTTCTTGTGTTTGTCCTCCTCCTTTCCTTCACCTCGACGGGATCGATAAATCGACAATCCAGCCAGCCACAAAATACGTATCAAATTGGATGTGAGAAACTGTATGAAACTGTGAAATATATGTCTTTTTGGGGACCTCTAAGAATCTCTTGGATAGATTTCGACGTGATTTCAAGCATAAACATTCCCCCTGGGGATCCAAAGTCGGATCCAGACGCCAGACTAGGACGATTGGGGATCCAAGCCATCTTCCTTGTTTCCGCGCACCTGCCAAGTTTTGCCATCTCTCGGTTGTTTCTTTCATCAGGGGAGGAGAATGTCGGAATGTCCCATCACCCAACTCTTCGGATCATCTACAACCATCAGAAGGGGGTGTTTCAATCCGCCAACTCTTGGTGAGACATACTACCACAATCCGCCAAAACGGTACATTATCACCCCCTGATCCTGTTGCCATGGTTGTGTGCCACAAGGATTGTGGGTAAATTTCAAGTGTAGCCAAGATCAAAGTTCTCTCAGCTGGCCCAAGTAATGGATATGATGAACATCCCAGCAGCTGAAGAATTTGTGAAAGTCTTTCGGGGATAAAATAATCACCAAAATTCTTGCAGAGTTGACTTCGAACTAAAGTGCTGGCAATTTCTTAGGACCACCGAAACCCTCCAATTGGTTTTTCCCTTTGTTTCTTCGAAAGTGATGGGGCAAAAAAACAAACACCGTGTCTTGTTTTTCAAATAAAAAACAGGTCATTGTTTAAAAAAAAATTACTGTAACATACTGTAACAAATACTATTGCTAATCCTGTGGTTATTTAATATGGTTATGGAAAATGATCCATTTATAGATTTTATGATTGTCAAGCAGAAATCAGTGCAAACAAGTGCAAACCGCAAGCGAATGCAATGGATTTTCTGCATGTGGTGAACGTAGCTTCGGCTGAAGTACTACAGGGGTTTTGGGCCGATAGGCCATTGCAAAAGAGTGGATCAAGTAGCTTCCATGCCACTTGTTTCAATCAACATCCTTTCAATTTGTTTGTTAGCACGGAGCTGGGGTACTTGGTCCTTGTGAAATACAGTGATCAACACGGGCACTGTACATCCAATCAGTTCGTGTTGATTCGGCAAATCTTGCATGGCCACTGCATTCTCTAGCTTACGCCACACCTTCTCGGTCGGGCTAAGCTCAAATCTGCCAAATGTCGTGCGCAATGGAAATTCTTAAACGCTAAAGCGGGGCTCAGGAGTACAAAAACTTTTCGCAGCGCATGCTACTTGAAGGCCAATTCCAGCAAGAAAATGCCATCCTCTCTTTTCACACAATCCATGCAAATAAGGCATGATGGGATCGTTCCCATCCACAGCGACTCCAGGCATCTCAGCGCTTGCTGACATCTGTGTGATTGGAGATTTGCAGCTGCGCGCCTTCAACACGATGAATTCTGGGCTGGAGCTGATGCTCCAAGTTCCTTTTGAGATGATGGATCTCATGTGACAGGTCCATCTCCTTCGTCCCGCCATCTACCCACATATTCTCTGTTGCTGTCCATTTCAAGGCAGTGTTCGGCTTGCGGAGAGATCACCGTCAGCCAGACATGCAAAGTAGCAACCCTGAGAGTAGGTCTTGGTGATGGATTCGCCGGCATTTGAGCCGGGCCATCACGTTGTACGTTTCCGAGCGCGGCGTCGGAGACCATGACGATTCCAGCCGTGCGATATAATCGATTGCACGAAAAATCAGTTCAAATTTGGAAGTCAATTTGAATGCCTTCGCCAGGGAGTTCGCCCTCAAGATCGTAGAAATCGTGGGCGGGCTCTCTCCTTGAAGTGTTGACACCTGAAAGCCCATATCGAATCGAACTTGTGCAACCAACCATTGGAAGCTTCCAAGCAGTGCTCGAAGTGTCTTCGTCTCCGTCGCATCCAGCTTGGACGATGGATCTGATTTGCGGTGGCGAGGCAAAACTATCTCTGTCTGTCAGGCTCTCATGGTATTCATGCATGCTCAAACAGACAGTTCCATCACTTGCCCTTCTGATCCTTTTGCCACACCAGGTGAAATCAGTCTCACAACTTCCAAGACCTAACTCGGCGCCTATGGCATCCAATGAAGCCTTTCCAGCTGCACCACCTGCGAACAAAAGATCGTCCACATGTGCGACAACTACGGCCTCCAGGGTCTTCTCACCAGCATCATTGATGACCCAAAAGCACCGCATTGCAGCATCTATCAAGGTTCGGCACCAACCATGCTCTGCCATGGATCTTGACAAACGGAGCCACCATTCTCTGGGGGCGTCCGCCAGCACAAACATTCCTTTCAACACTCAGCAAAGCTGACCAGGTGTCAAAGGAATCGGCGGATTGCGCCTCTCATCCACACCACAAAGGTAGAGCTCTCTTCTGAGGTACGGATCTCCCTTCAAAAAGGCGCTTTTCACATCTGCAGCAATCAGCATCCAATGTGTAAAGAAAGCAGCCAAGGAGAAAAGAAAATGTTGAGCCATCCATGAACCAGTTGAGGCATCAGATCGGAGATTGCCTTCCAAGTCGCTTTTGTCCTTATAGCCTGGCACAACGATGTGGCTGCTTGCCTTGATAGGCAAAGGATGAGATGCCGTGCGAAGTCCATAATGTTTGTCCGTCAGAACGAAATTCGATCCAGTTCCGGGCATCGAGCCAGATCCTTTCGGACTTGCATTGATTCTTGCATGGACAACACTTGGATTGCATTGTGGTCAACGTAAGCATTCCATCCTTGGACAGTAGCGTCACGCCATAGAGTCTTCTTTGCAGGAAACAGCTGGGTCCAATGATACTCTTTGCGAGAAGCTTGTATGGTCAGAGCATCAGAACAACCATCTTCTGCTGCACCACAAGGGGGTTGAGAACCCTACTCACGCATGAGCTCCCAATCACGCTCGCACAATAAAAAACATCTTCCATCCAAGGTACAGGTACCGTGGTCATACTCCAAGCACGCCTATCCAGCTCCACCTCAACTTGCAGTCGAAGTAGGGGATGTGCACCTGGACCAGATTCAACTACATTGCATCAAAGTTGCTCCCATGTCATGGTGAAAGCTTCAAAGGCAGGTTTCGCTTCCACAGGTCCAGAGTCTGGCGGACCGGCATCATCCCGAGCAACCTCACCTGCTCGTGAAGGACGCGCCAACTCTTCAGAAGCAGCACGCTTGACACCACGTTCAGTGTCCAAAGATCGAGCTCTGGCCATAGAGGATTGCAATGACGTAGTGCTTGGCAATCTCGAGCGCCCACGTTCAGGCTGTTGATCTGGCATGCAACATTCAAATTCTGCGTGTCAGAACCAAATTGAGAAGCCACATCTGCAAGCATCGACGATTGTTGCCTTGTGGTTGTAGAGCTGCCACAATCTCAGAGTTGGACAAAACAGGAGGTGCAAGAACAGCAGTGAAAGGAGCTGGTGCTGCTGCCCATCAAGACCATCATCCAACGATTCAGGCTGTTGCGCTGGCAAAGCATCATCGGCAACAACGTCACGTTGTGCTGCTTTCAGCACATCATCTATTGCAGCCTCCCAAGAACCAGCAGCAATCTTCTCAAGTGACGATGCCTTCCGGACATGTTCCATAGGGCACTTGCAGAGCTGGCCGCGAAACGACACAAAACAACTTGCAGCAAACCCAGTGCCGTTGGCACCTTCTATTGCAACAAGTAGCCCAGGCCATGCCATCGTCGTAGTTGAAGTCGACGCCCTGGACATCCACTGGCCATCTCTTTCTTGCTTTGGTACTTCTGTGCTCTCCAAAAGAAAACAAGATCACCAGGCTGTGGGGCATCTTCTGCAGTGGATCTTCCCAACTCAGCTTGACGAAGACCTCGACTGTAATGAAGTCGCACCATTGCCACTCTGGCCGTCTCTCTAATCGCCGCCTGCCGGGCCATTGATGCATCAGCTTCCAAAAGTGAGTGCTCTGCCGGATGTCCAGAGAAATTGTTCAAGACATCACCAGCAAATCGAGGATTGCGGCCTGCGACAAGCTGCAAAGGGCTGATGCTGCTCTCATTGGGGTCAGTGCTGTAGGCTGATACAGCTTCACCAACTGCCTCTTGAATCTCTGACAAGGTGCTCACAGCATGCGTTTGGCATATGGCTCCTGTGATCGCCTTCAAGGTTCCACCTGACCTTTCAGTATTATCCCATTTTCCCACGGTGCACCGACTCCTATGTGATATAGGTAGATTGATTTGGAGTCGCACCAATCACCATAAGCAGCAGAAATAAATTCACGTCCTTGGTCTGCTACAAGTGTGTGAGGAGGCCCCATCAGTGGAAACCACTGGACGGTCATGACATGAATCACTGCCGCACTTGACTAGTCTTCCAATTTTCAAAACTCTCGCAGCTTGAGATCGGGAAACGTGGTCTGTGCAGTGAGCCAACGTATTGCCTTCGCAATGAGTCCTCCAAAATCACCAAATCCAAATGCACCTGCTGACCAACTTCGCTTGTTCTCTTTGAGCGTAGCCACCACCGGTCGAACCTTGGCCTGCAAAATGGCCACTGTGTCCTTCGGTTCCACCTCCACATAGATCAAATGTGCCAAGCGAACCAAGTCGTCCTTGTGAGTGGGCAAACCCCCACGAGGACCAATCAACTGTCTGGCCAGTTGTGTTCGGTCTTCCTCTTGCACTTCCTTTTGAACTTTGGCCTTCATTTCTTGGATCGCCTCCATCTTCAAACGCTGTTGCTGGCCACGCATGGTCTTTGTCACAAGAAAACTGTTCAGCAGGGAGCCTTCCAAGAATGCAAGGCGCCCGCCAACTCGATCTCAAAATCGTTGAAGCTCCAGGATACTGTTCTTGGCTGTATGTACTTTGGCTTCCAATGCCAATTCATGGTGAGCACGAGGAAGAACAGCTTGGACAACCATCGCTTCAGCCTGCGGGATCCATGACTGCACTGTAGATACAGATGGGTATGGATAGGGCAAGTAGCGCAAGCAGGAGCGCGCCACCACCCACAATAGCAAGCTTTGCTCGTACCATTGACGCGTTCCAAGCAAACGCATGATGAACCTCCTCCATCGGTACGGAGCAAAGGCTTGCCGACATTCGGCCACCAGGGTCTTTTGAGCCACAAGCCACAAAGTCGAGTCTGGGCCATAAGCGCAGGGAGCAAGGCCGCTTGCTGAGCTTCCACTGCCAGCACGAGCACCAGGACGTCGTAGAGGATGTTGACGGGGAAATTGTTGCTTCAGAGAAGCTGACATCTTTTGAGCCCAGCCGTCGCATTAGAGATTGGCTTCGTGTAAGCCCATCAAGGTTTCGCTGGCATATATTCCACTTGCTGTCAAATGGTGCTCATGCTCAACAACTGCATCACTGGAGATTGGACGACCTGATAACCCATCAGATATACGACGTTTCAACCAATCAACTGCTTCCAACTTCAACTCTATGATATTGTCCAAAGCACATTTTCGCCAACTTCCACCATCAAGCCTCTGCCAACGCAACGGCAAAACGGCAGCATGAAGTGACCCACTGCCATCTGGTCTCCAGCCTTTGCGTTTGCGAGCTGAGAAAGGTGCACTCCAACGTTCTGTTGGCGAAATGCAGCACAGCCCCTACTGAGTCCAAGAAATCTCGGCCCAATAGGCATCCCAGAAATGCAATGGGCACAACTGAAATCCAAATGAGCATCACCTTCCTAAAACACATGCTGGCCCCGAAAGCGCTTTGAAGAAGTGACCAAACCACCATTTCCAAATTTAAACCGCTCTGGTTCATCAGCCGTGAAAACCAAATCTACCGCATGAGGAGGAGCCAATTGTGCAAGTTTGGCCATGTATGAATCCATCCAAACGGGCCCACAGCAAGTTCGATTGCATGCAGAGTCCAACGCCCCAACGTGGAACTTGTCCTCGGAGAGAGCCTGAGCAGAAGCAGCTCTCAACTGGCCATCTCGCTGAATGCTTTGGGAAAGTGCTTCATGCAATGGAACTGAAAGACGATGAACAACTGACGCTTCATGGGTCTTGGGTTCAATGGTATTGGGGATCTCGACAGCACCAGGTGATGGGGTAGATGTCAAAGAGGATGAAATGGCCAACTCTGCCACTTGTTTTGCTTTCGATTTTGGTGCAGAAGCGCTGTTGCGTCCCAAACCAGCACCTGGCATGGTGCATTCCCTATCTCCAGCCCAATGGCCGTGCATCCCACAATCAAAGCATGCATGCTTCCCAGGTGCCTTCGAGACGCAACTTGACCAGTCTTTCCATTGCCCTTGCCACCACCAGAGCGGCCATAGCCACGATCCTTTCGGATCTCTTGCAGGCGGCTTCTCGCCTCTTTCATCGTGACTAAAGCCTCAGCGGCCTGTTCTCAAAATTCCGCTCTAAACATTCCAAATCTTCGCCTGGAAGCCCCATCTCTTCGGCCTCTTCACAAAGCATCCAGCCTGAGTTTGGAGAATGTCCTCCAATGCAGGCTTCACAACAGCAGTCTCATGTTGAGTCTCAGCAGGAATCATCTCTGGCTCGTCTTCCTCTCCATCCTCAGGGACTTCAGTAATCATCACTCTTCGAGCCGGATTGGAAGACGCTGCACTGCCACGACTGAACGGTCTAGAAAAATTCGATGATGCCCTGCTAAATGTTGAACCTGCACTTGAAGACGCTGATGGTGAACCCTGATTAGACTGTCGTGCTCCAAACGTGCGCTTGATGGTCAGCTTCGGTCGGAACATGGGGTCTGACATGTGGAGGTCTTTGAACAACCTCACTGTTTCAGTCTCAATTGTCTGATAATCCTCCGCACCTTGCGATGCAGTCTCAAGCAACTGCTTGCGCAAAGGATCAAGTCCAAGCATCTCCTTATAATACCAACCAACCTCAGAGGACGGCAACTGCACCTGTTCAGGGCGAAGATCTGCCACAACAGATCGAAACCGTGTAGAAAACTCAGAAACTCTCTCTCCAGGTCTGCGTTGAGTCCCAAGATAAAACTGTGACCTCACCTCGCCCTTCGTATCCAGCGCAGTCATTCCATTAATGCCCTCTAGAGCTTGCATCAGTTTATTCAAGCCAAACAAATAGTCTTCCTGGAGTCTTCCTTCTCCATCTCAAAGACTTCACCACTATCTGGGTCAGTGATGGTCTGAGCCGGACGATACTGCAAATCCTCTGGAGGGAACTCTTCACCACGCTGCCTAACAATCCCGGTCTGTCTAAGCAAGAACCGAGCCGCTAAGTTGTACTTCTTGGTGCTCTGCAGGTCCAGCGACGAGACCCACAATTTCATTTCACGTTGGAAGGCCCTCCACTTTGTTGGAGCACCGTCCCATGTTGGAACTTTCGCCCAAGCACCCGATCCTTTCTCCTCGCTATTCTCCGCCATGACTGGTCTTTCACTCCACAAGACAAATGCCAAATTCCTTCAAAAGCAGCAAATATCAAAGAAGTATGAATCCACCAGTCAGGGAAAATGCAGACGATCGGGTCAAGCACCGTGCACGATGACACTCGCAGAGCAGCATTCGCAACGCTTGTTACTCAAAGTCAACCGAACAAAATGTCACACAAAATTCTGAATTGATTGCAAGACACTAGATGCTCTGGCCCTTGAATCGCAACGCTAGCTCCGGTGCCACTGTCAAGCAGAAATCAGTGCAAACAAGTGCAAAGCGCAAGCGAATGCAATGGATTTTCCGCCTGTGGTGAACGTAGCTTCGGCTGAAGTACTACAGGGTTTTTTTTGGGCCGATAGGCCATCGCAAAAGAGTGGATCAAGTACCTTCCATGCCAATTGCTTCAATCAACAATGACAATGATTATAAACATTGTGTTTTACCTCTTAAACATTGTTATTTTCCAGTTCGCTGCGTTAAATAACCAGAGGGTAATAACGATAATAATAACTCCATACAGTACCAGCCAAGGTTCTCCACGAATTATCACAAAAAAATAAAGATGTATCGATTTCCGGCACAAGTTTGGAAGCCACCATTCTGCACGCAGAACTGAAAGGATGGGTATGATCTAACCTGTCAAAACATGGAAAAACCGTGGAAAAAAACACACTTGGATTCCTCGAAATTCGGGCATAGGGCCATGGTCAAGGGAGCGTTTCAACCGCCCAGTTTTCCAGGTTCGGTCCCCCTGTCCGTTCTGTCCCCCACCTTGGTGCGCATGAACTCCTTCATACCTTGGTCGAACGTGAAGGATGTGGAAGAAAACCATTTTCGCACAACGAAACATGTGTCACTCCTGGAATATTCACCATGATGATCCCATAGACTTCAATGGTACCCAATATAAATCAACAGCCTACAATGTGAGGCCCCCGGCCACGATAGCGTTCAGTTGCTTCAAAAAACTCCAATGTCACTATGGTTTATGGTATTTGTACCCTCTGGTAATTTAACATAGCTATGGAAAATGGCCATTTATAGTGGATTTTCCCATTGAAAATTGTGATTTTCCATAGTTATGTTAGTTTACCAGAGGGTAAACCAACTTATATCCTGGGGGCCTCACATTGTATGAATCCTATGAATCCAAGTGACGCTTGTCGTTCTCGATGAGGCGGCCCAACTCTCGCCATTCCTGGTGGATATCTTTCATTGGTCACCAAATGGGAAGTTCACCAGGAAAACGATACGTTTGTATATAATATATATATATGTGTGTGTGTATACTATTGTATACTGAAAACCAATCAAACATCTGGAGTTAACATGATTTACCAACAAAACTGTTGGAAACGAAGCAACAAAATCGGGATTTGAATGGATTTGAAGTTCAACCATTTACACTACCCAACAAACATTTAAGGACTTCAAGATGTTTCGAATGCAACCTGCGAAACGTGGCAGCTTTAATTTTTTGCTTGGCAACCCCAACGGTCCTAGGATTTCTATCCATTTCATGGGCTCAGTGTGTCCGGTAACCTGGCTACAAAGAAATATGAGGCTTCCATAAATGAGGCTATCCTAAAATGGATGGTTTATTTCATGGAAAATCCTAAAATCACATGGATGATAACTAGGGGTATACCCCATGTATCGACTCTTTTTGGAAGATCTTCCTCCATTTTCTCAAAACCGAGGCTACCTGGCTACCTCAGTTGCCAATCTGCTTCTTTCCCGCCGCCCAATGGCCCAGTCCTTCTCAAATTCAGCATGCTCTTTGTCTGCTTGCTGCTTCAAAGAGGCCTCGGCACCATGCGGCAGCATGCGGCAGCATGATGCACAAATTGTCTCTGTTGAACGGATTGAATTTCAACGTGGCAGTGTGTCAAAACCTTGTACCCCTGTAGTTCACATCAAAATAGCTGGTAAATGGATGTTCGTCCCCCTAAAAATGGTATTAATAGGTATTGATCCATAGCCATGTGATTTTTCAAGTTGTCTCAAGATGTTTCAAGGTTTTTCCCAATTTCTTCAAGATTCATCCAGATGTTTTTACGACTTTTCCGCGGAAATCTGCCAACCTTCCCCAACCTTCGGTGGGGCCCCCGGGCCATCTGCGCTTGAGCGCTGTCGCGCGCCTCGTAGGCCGCATTGGCCTCAGAGATAGACCGATAGACCAGGGGAGTTACCGAAGATCTTCAGATCTGTGAACAAATCATTTGAATCCTTTATCTTTATATATGAAATTTCTGGGATAGATAAAATCGACTTGACTTTTCTATAGATACTTTTTATGACTTTTCTGGGATAGATAAAATTGACTGACTTTTCTGGGATAGATACTCTTATGACTTTTCTGGGATAGATACTTTTGACCAAAGATCTTGGGATTTAAATGATGATTGGCCCAGATAAAATGTTGAGATCATTTGACATAGTAACAACCATGAGGAAGCGCCAGGCGGAACCAATGAACAACGCCCGAGCTTTCCCACAAAACTTCTGATATCAGATGACCAACAAAAACTGGCCATCTTGTGGTTCCCCAGGTGGCTTCGGCAAAGTCAGCGAAAAAGATCTCAACCCACCAGTCTATGATGGTGATCTGCGGTGGATTGCCACAGAGGAGGTGAGTCGTATGCCAAAGAGAGGAGGTGACCGCACAGAAATCCAACCACCAACAACTGGCTGCATTTCTGTAAAAATAGGCTACCCGGCTACCACTAAATCCATCATTTTCTCATGTTCCCTCTTGCGGAAAATTGTGGTATCCACCAATCCACCATTCAGATCCCCACCTGCTCGATGATATTGGCCATCTCTTTCTTCTTCTGCTGCCTGGGAGGGAAGCCACGTGGCGACTTCGGCTAGAAATGGTGGGTCGCCAAGCCCATTTCATGTGCCAAAAATACTCCTTTGAAGGTTTGAGATATCCTCTTTGGAAGTTTGATCAAAGTGAGGATGCACGTGGATAAACTATGGGTTCAGAATAGTTTTTGGATTTTTTTTTGACTCAGGTTTTGGATTTTTTTTGCTTTAAATTTGCTTTTTTTTCCTGGTACCATTTGCCTTGTATTTGCAACAGTTTGGAACTAGAATCTGTCATTTTGCATGGTATTTGCTACGTTTTGGTATGATTACTTTGCATTTTGCATGGTATTTGCTACATGCTGGCATGGTTACTTTGCATTTTGCATGGTATGTGCTACATTTGGCCATGTTCGCCTTCCATTTTGAATGGTATCTGCCACGTTTTGGCACTTCAACCTCTCATTTACATGGTATTTGCTACATTTTGGTACTTCAAACGTTCATGTGGATTTCTTGAGAGTTTCTTGAGGTTTTCATTTAGGGCTTCATTTAGGGTTTCATTTAGGGTTTCACTAGGATTTCATGTAGGATTTCGTTTGGGGTTTCATGTAGGGTTTCTTTAGGGTTTCATTTAGGCTTTCATTTAAGGTTTCTTTAAATTTAGAGTTTCTTTAGAGTTTCATTTAGGGTTTCATTTAAGGTTTCTTATCAGGATTTCTTATCAGGATTTCCAAACGTTCATGTGGGTTTCTTTGGGGCTTCTTTGGGATTTCATTTAGGGTTTCATGTATGGTTTCTTTAGGGTTTCATGTAGGGGTTCTTTAGGGTTTCATTTAGGGTTTCATGTAGAGTTTCATTTAGGTTTTATGTAGGGTTTCTTACCAGGATTTCTTATAAGGAGTTTCAAACGTTCATGTGGGTTTCTTTAGGGTCATTAGGGTGTCTTTAGAGTTTCATTTAGGGTTTCATTTAGGGTTTCATTTAGGGTTTCATTCAGTGTTTTTTAGAGTGCCGTTTAGGGTTTCTTTAGGATGCCATTTAGGGTTTCATTCAAAGTTTCTTTAGGGTTTAATTTATGGTTTCTTTAGGGTTAATTTATGGTTTCTTTAGGGTTCATTTAGGGTTTCATGTAGGGGTTTCTTATCAGGAGTTCTTATCAGGATTTCTTTAGGGTTTCTTTGGGTGTCACCTGGGTCGTTAGGGTTTCATTTAGGATACAAACAGGAGAAAATAAAGCAAAAGAAAAGAAAAAAAACAAGAGGCAGTAAAGACAGGAAGCAGAGAAGCAGAGGAGCAGGAAGTAGAGCAGCAAAAACACATGACTAAAGAAAAAAAAAATGTAGAACAGTAGAAGTAGAAAGGCAAAAGCAGAAAAGCAGAGAAGCAGAAAAGAAAAGAAGCAGGTAAACCAGAGAAGCAGAGAAGCATGACGGGCAGAGAAGCAGGAAAAGCAAAAAGCAGGAAAAGCAAAAAGCAGAGAAGCAGAAAAGCAGAGAAGCAGAAAAGCAGAGAAGTAGACAAGCAGAGAAGCAGAAAAGCAGAGAAGCAGAAAAGCAGAGAAGTAGACAAGCAGAGAAGCAGGAAAAGCAGAAAAGCAGAAAAGCAGAGTAGACAAGCAGAAAAGCAGGAAAAGCAGAAAAGCAGAGAACCAGGAACCCAAAAAAAAATCCAAAACCTGCCGCGGAAAAAAAAATAACTCGCCCTCCATAAACTATCCCAAAGAAGTGTCATCTTGAGTTCCAGTAACCTGGGCATGTCTGATGTTGCCCAATACCCGGGGGATTGCCTTAGTCCTTGACCGTGTCATTCTGAGTCTTTGGATGGACTGATGGCGTCACAAATCAGGATGCAGCAAGCAGCAAAAATATCAAAAATGGGAAAGACACATTTCATGATTTCATCATCACATGTACTCCAAACAAATAGTGTGTGTATACCATGTTTGGGTCATGTTTCTGGTGAATATCACCATATATGGATATATGTGGCAGTGATATATAGTGTGTATATATATATATACAGTATATATATATACAGTATATATATACAGTATATATATATATAGGTATTTTGCAATCCTTAAACCCATGGGTTTTACGAAAATGGTCGAGGTTTGGGCGTCCGGACAACTCGTTTTCCAGCTTCCGGTAGATGTCGTCAAAGACCTAGGTCGCTCCCACTGGCTTTCGTGGGAGGACTCCTGAAGTTGCTCGACATGGTTTGTATCTGCGAGTTGTCTTCGAATATTGGGTAACCGGGTATGGTTCATATGGATTCGATGAGTCAAAATACACCAACATCCTTCTGTTCACACCAAAATCGCTGGTAGTTTTGGATGCTCATCCAAGATAAAAATACTAACAATAGCTTTGGATCCATGCCCATGTCGGAGTGGACCCTGACGACCCTGACGACTCTGACTTCAGAAATATGATCACCGACAAACAGAGGTCCCCCTTGGCGTACGTGGCTCCCCAACTAGTCTAAGTAGTCCAAGATCCCGGCCACACGTTCCCGTCGCAGGGTATCGATCCTGAGAGTGGCGTGCACTTATCCTGTGTGCATTTCAGCCTCTCGTTTTCTATTAAAAAATGACGAAAAAACACAAAAAAAAAACGCTCCAATCATCTCCAATCCTATGTTTCGGCTTATGTGGTGGTTCTTAATGATCCCCAGTTCAGATAGCTGGGGCCCAACCCAGGCCCAGAGCCACCCTGGGCCATCCCTACTGCTCACGCAAATTGCGGTTCGCCGCGATGGCTTCATTGAACTTCTGCAGGCCCTGATGATCTGATGGCTAAAATTTGATCACCCGGTAAACCAAGGATAGTCGAAACCATAAGATTACCCTCTGGTAAACTAACATGTCCTTCTAGAAATAGTTGATTTATGTTGATTTACCTATTCAAAATGGTGAGTTTCCATAGTTTTTTCCTAAACGTTTACCAGAGGCTACCAGCTACACAAGCTGTTCCCAGCATCGCTTCCGCCAGGTCCCGGCATTCCGATCCGCCAATCCCGCCTTGTCGAGCCGGTTCTCTAAGATGCGAATCTGCTTGGCAATGGCCTCGCACAAAGTTTTCACATGGTCAAAAAGAAAAAGGATCTTACATTGCATTACATTGTATTACATGATCTTAAATTTCAAAACCCATTTCAAGAAATGCGATGGTTTTTTGGTGCTTGCGACATTCATCTGGGATTAGAGGTGAAGAAAACATGACGCCCAGCCTTAGAGTTGTCCAGCGCTGCGTTGACGCCACCACTCTTAGCCATCTCCTGTGACTGAAATCACAATGCAATGGTGTCTAAGGAATGCCATTGGGGATAAAACTGGAGATGAAAACCAAGCATTGTCATGATAAAATAGGGGTACAATTGGAGTTACCCCTGCAGTTACGGCTCATTTTTATGGCTGTAACCATGGCAAAACAACCCCAATAAGTTGGGTTTGAGGAAGTGCACCCGCGCAAGCGCGGTAACACGAAGAAACTGGGGATACACCCTTGATTGTGGTAAAGAAGTATGATTTTTTGCTGGGATATAGTACGCATGTCTGTAAAATGTGCGTGTATATATATATATACAATTATATACAAAAATATAGTACAACCAGTAGGAATCTGGAGTATGAATTCGAAAAATGATTTTGTGTTTAACAAGTTTAACCTGCCAGAACCTACCAATGTTTTTAAACCAGTCTTTACTTTGTTGGTGTGATTTGTCAACGTGTCTTAAAGAAAGAAGACAAACTGCCCATACAACCAGAGTTTAGGATCTAAGTTACTCAATCATACTTGAACCCTAAATTCCCGATCGACCATGAGTTTCTTTCTCGTAATTGAATACGACCCACATTTCATGACAGTCAAACCCCATGTATTAATTATCATGCTGAAACTCCCATCGTCGTCCAACCCTCACCATCACTTATCAACCGTTATCAACCTTCCAAAATACAAATACATCTTCTAAATTCTTCTAATATCTTCTAATATCTCTTTAAAAAAACTGACACTAAAATTATCTAAAGCAAACTTCAGACACAAATCCTCCCGAAAACGGCAACCTCTCGCAGCTCAAAGATGCGCCGCTGGGTGCTGTCCAGCCTCGGACGGTCAACCATCAATTCATTTGGCGGGTTTACCACATTGCTTTACCGACAGTCTTTCAGATGATATGATAATGATATGATCATAGAATCATAGTAATGGTGATGATGATGATGATGATAATGATCATAGTAATGGTGGTGACGATGATGATGACGACGACGACGACAATGATTAGTATAAGAATGACACAATATGGTGTTTCAAAGAAATGAACGAACATTGCCATCGGTGACTTAATGGTGGTGTGATCATGATCCCCCGCCAGAAGTTCACTTGTGTGACCTAATGCTTAACAAAAAGTTCACAGTCCAAACAGGCAAAAAAAGCTGAGTGTAAATCACCATTTTTAATGGGAAAATCACCATGCTATTAATGGGAAAATCAACCATATTGCCCATTGAAATCATTTTAAACAGTGTTCGACCAACATGAGGAACGGTTTTACCTGCACATTTCTGCTTCAAGACCAGGTTTGGGTTCACTAGTGAACCAGATTAAATCACCTTGCTCAAGGCAAGAAGTATGTTAAAATCCAGCATTTGTGTTGATGAAATCATATCAACTGCAAATACCCGATTTCAAGGTACAGTATGGGGTATGCGTCAAAACGCTGGTACTCTGACAAACCCTGAAGTAGCTGGCAAATGGACGTTCATCACCACAGCTATCACATATTTATCATATTTATTGTATAATAGCGTTTGACCCATTCCATCCCTTTCCTATATTTAAAGTTCCATGATGGCCTTGGTCAGCACGTGCCTGGTTGGTTTAGGTAACCCTGAAGTAATCCGAAACCGAGAAAACGCGCCATCGCCCAGGCACTTGTCTTGAAGCCTCTGAGCTTCGTTGGCCTGAGCGGTCGAGGTGTCAAGTGTTGGATGTGGAAAAAAAAAATATTAATGTTGGTAGAGCAATAAAAGAATATATACGTGTATATATATATATATTTATTTATTTACTTATTTATTTATTTATAAATGGTTATTATATGTTACTACATGATGTTATCCCATGATTATCCCTATAATGTGGCTAAAACAATGCCATAAACGCACCATCCCCCAGTCATCACCATAAATACATAGGTGCTATAAACTTACCATTCCCAGTCGACTGGGTGGTAAACGTTTTACCTTGTTTTACCCGCATAAAACAGGGAATCATGGTTTTTGGCCACAATCTTTTGGTGGCATTCTCGCTGATTCTGTTCATTAATCAGTGGGGCCATTGATGGTGGGCTTCGGATGGAGAACGAAACAAAGCAACTACGTACGATATAAGCAACATGTCTTTTTTGTATCAAGCAAAACAGGTTGAAATAGGGATACCATGGGGAACCTCTAACATGACAAGACAACACAATGGATGTTTCTCGGCCCGGCCTCACCCTCTAACTTCATTTGGAGGGTGTCCTTCTGCTCACTCCTCAGTAGCACAAAAAGTTCTTGTGGCCCGGTAACCCGGTTGAACCCATTGGAATTCTCCCTGGATCCGGGAGAGCCGTCAAAAAGGCTCTGGGAGATGAAAAAGAAATCAACAAATATATATATATAAGATTATATAAGTAGTACACCATATCTTATCGTGTTTTTTCCTTCTCAATCAATTGGTGTAAGCGAACATCTACGGGAAAACCTGTCATGTCATGGGAAAGTCCATGGTGTCAATCGTAGATTTTCCCAAACCAATCCGTTGCAATTTAGATCTAAGAGGTGGGCAATCGAGCAATGGTTTCCTGCTGCATCTTCGCTTCTGCCTACGCCGCGAGCCCTATCGAGACATGGCGTCGAGAGGCCTTGATCTCATCATGATGCACTAAGGGAGAAATGAAGAAAGAGTGATGGTGGTATCCAATCATCAATATATGTAAATAGTGTGTTTGTCAATATGTTAATTAAATTGTAGATTGATATGTATATTATATGAATATTATTATATAATGGGTATCTAAATTCAAAACATGTATCTTAATACATACATCGGCATGTATATTAATACGCATACTCATATGCTTATGAATATGTGTATTCATATGTCTATTAATACGTATGTATATTACTATGTATACTAATATGTATATTGATATGTATTTTTGTGCGTATCTATATATATATCATTGTATATCAATTTGAGTACTATAAATGTTGATGTGTACCTTTATGATCCTTTATAGTAGAAATGCTAATGTACATGTAGATCAATGATTTGGGTATGGATCAATACCTATGAAAATACCATTTTTAGGGGGTTATTCACATCCATAAATCCCAGCTATTTTGATGTGAACTACAGGGGTACTATTGGTTTTGACACACTGCCATTTCTGGACAATATCCATCTCCACCAGCTGCCGGGAATCCCGGCCTGCGTACCAGTGCTGGATCTGGTTTCATTCAGCTCGGCCTGTGTTTTCGTTTCACGAATGGCCGGGAAACCACTTCACCATAGATACCCTCTGGTAAACTAACAATTCACTATGGAAAATCACCATGCTATTAATGGGAAAATCCACAAATCACCATTTTCAATAGCTATGTTAAATTACCAGAGGGTAGCAAAAGATTCAAGTAACTGAAGATTGCTAAAGTATCTAATCACCAAGCTTGACCCAAATCCACGGAAGCAAAAAGGAAAGAAGCCCCGGTGGAATTGCCAACTGAGAAACTGGAGAAACGGGTGCCCTGGGTTTTGGTTTGTGCCACCGTTGGATTTGTGAGGAATCTTTCCGGGAAGCCACAACACGTAGACTCCAGTTTCTTTTCATGTCTCTCTATTTGGAGCTTGGCAAGAAAATAGGTCTACCACAATCCCCAAAATTGAAAAGTTGGAAAGGAAAAAAGAACTAATATCTCCCATTCGGTTCGATGATTTTCCCAACATTTCCCAACTATAAACTTCATTTAGTGCCGGGATTTGCCCTTGCCACATTTGATGACACAGAAATTCCAAGTTGATTTTATAAACCCCTTTATTCCACTTCGAAAAAAATTGAGATCTCTACCGGATCGCAGCCGGCCGGGCCTTCATCTTCCGATTCTCGCGCGTGAGCTTCTCGATCGTGGCGCGCTGCTTGCGGATGGTGCCTGGTGGATCCAAGAATTTTTTGCGGATCGGTCAAGGGAGCGATTGAAAGATGGCTGACATATGCGAAAATCATAGGAAAAATATGGGAAAAGATTGGCAAATCCTCGAACTAAATGGAGGTTTCTAGCCGGGAAAATCAACTATAAATTATGGATTGTCAAATACCTGTACAGGAACCAAATATGAAACCAGAAACTGCTGTTGTTCTTGTGGAAGTGAGTGTTCGGTGTTTGACAAATCCAATTAATTCTTGGGGTTCATAAGATTGAAGCCTAGGAACTTGCAATATAGAGTCACGAAAATGTTCTGTGGAAAGTCAATGTTCAGTGGACAAGTCGTCTTGATCTCCTTTTTTTCCGGCTTCAAAGTTAGTGTTCAGGATTGCTTATGTTCACCTCTTTCAAGAGTTTTTGGTGGTTGTAAAGAAAACATTGGCTCCCATAATTAAAATAACGATATGAATTAGTGCTGTTTAACCTTGACGTGCAACTTAATTAGTGTATATTACCCTCTGGTAATTTAACGTAGCTATTGAAAATGGCCATTTATACTGGATTTTCCCATTAAGCATGGTGATTTTCCATAGCTACGTTAGTTTACCAGAGGGTAGTGGGTTATAACCAAGAGCTATACCACTCTCGATTCTATCGCGCAACGCCGCCTTGCGAGTCTTCGCTGCAAGCGCGCTTGTCATTCTCCTTGGCGACACAGAAAAAAGCCCAGTGGTAACCCCTGGCCCTGCACCTGCTAGTCATTTGGCAAGTTGAGTAAACCTTCATGATATGAGGGTTTTATATGTTTTTATCCATAATATCCCTATTTCAATGGTGATATCCCAGTGATATCCCTATTTCAATGGTGGCTTTATTGAGTTATTGAGGTGAATCACCCCATTCGAAACCAACTCTTGGGGGATTGGGATCCACCGGGTCAAAGCTCATGGGATGATGCGAGATGTCCCCTTCATTGGTTGGATGCTTTGTGGCAGGCTTTACCGAAAAAGGTACCATCTGGTTGTGACATTCACAGTTCGCCATAGAAAATCACCATGCTATTAATAGGTAAACCATCTATTTCTATGGGCCATGTTCATCCATTTTCCATGGCTATGTTAAATAACCAGAGGGTAACCATTCTTGTCAGTTGTTAAATGTTGTTAACCACTATTAACATCTATGAACCATAACATATTCACCACCAAATTCAGCACGATGCAATGCTCGATCAAGTCCACGTCAAGAGGCGAGGACACGAAACTTCCGCTGCAGCTCGGCGATCTCTTGCTCGATGGGTTTCCTCCAAACGAAGGGCCAAGGGAAGGCCCAGGCCCAACCCACAAAGCGTAGGGGAGAAGAAATGGGGCATGGGGATATCATACAGGATGGTGCCCCCCAGTTATAAGTTGGTTTATAAACCCCATTAACTATAGTTATATCTGCCATAAACCATAGTTATTGGAGTTATAAACCAACTTAGCTAACTATGGGGCACCACCTTGTAGGGATAGTAGTGGGTACAAGGGGGGAAGAAATGGAAATATCATGAGGAGATAATGATAACAATGGGGATATCATTGGGATAATGCTGGGATAACGGTGGGATCATACGGGATGTTTTTTTGGGCTTTTGTCGAATATCATGGCCCATGCGCATCAAACCTCCACTAACACATGGGTCTAAAAACGGAGGATACCAACAATGGGGTATTGAACATGCACAAGTTTTCTGGAGAGGTGTCCCTAATTTTTTCGACAGACCCATGTTCTTCATGGCGCGGGCATTGATATAACTACCGCACCATGACAGGGGGCTTGATTTGGCAAAGGGATGACTAAAAATTTGCCGACATGAAATTAGTAACTTTTGACTCCATGACGCACCCCCCAGCACCCCTTTTCTCAGTACGGTGGCACCGTACTTTTTTCGTCACATCAGGCGGGGGGGTTGTCACATCATCCCCATGTCACAGCGGCGATACAGAAAAGTCACATCAGGTAGTGGAAAGTCACATCAGGGAAGAAGAATCACCATGGCACAGCCTGTTTCATCTACAATAACACATATATATATATATACATATACCCAGAAGTGGCCGAAGCATTGCGCACAGCAGGGAAAATGACAGATGCTTTTCTGAAAAGGTTCATATGTGTAAAGAATCCCAAGGGAATGATTGGAAAACTACTGATACCCATATCATCCCGTCAGATTGAAATCCTACTGGTACAGCGCCCATTTGGCACAGCCTGTTTCATCCGTACTTGGAGATTTTGAAGGGCACAAGTCAATACAGCAAGCAAGCAGCAACCAGTGTATGCCCCTTGAATGAATGATTAATTACAAGTGCTAAAAAATTGCCGCAATACAAAAATTGAAACAAAAACCCTCTGGTAATTTAACATAGCTATTGAAAATTGCCCATTGGGTTCGTTGATTGACCCATTAAAAATGCTGATTTTCCATCGCTTTTTGTATGTTTACCAGAGGGTAAATGTTAGGATCTCCGAAACTTCTTGGTTGGAAAACCAGTGGAAACTGCTGCTCGGCCTGTCTTCATCCTTCTTCTTCTTGAACATGGCCTCAAAGCATCAAATTTTAGCGGAGAAATGGAGAGTTCCTAAGTCATGGGGGTACCCCCAAATCATCCAGCTATTTCCGATGGATTTCCCATGGATTTCCCATGTTTTTTTTCATCATCCAGCGAGTTTGGGCTATCCCTCATGATACCCATTCTTCAAAAAAAAACTCCATAATATATATATACCCATACATACAGTGATTATTTCAGTTGATTTTCCATTATGGAAACCATTGGATCCCAGTTACTAAATATAAACCATAAATGGGATGCTGGATCCTATTGGATTTATAAGCCATGGGATATCTCCAGTTATATTAAACCATCCAGCCATTGGGTACAACCATTTATGGAAACCCCCAGTCATGAGCAGTTCATTTCCTCATCCGCAGTCATCCCCCATGGCCCCACCATGGCAGATGAACTCAGCTTCCAACCATGACTGGAATCCACGCCCTGGCACCGAAGGCTTTTTCGGGATGGCGGATATTTTTTCTGATATGATATAATATATGCATCATATATGCACTCCTAGTATATTAATCATCGTTCAATTTTTGAAAAAAAAACTGTGGATGGTAGCCGTAAATTGGATGGGACCAACTCCACATGCGCCTCGGAAACCTGGTGGTGAACGCTCGGCCCGACCACCAATTTGGCACACGCAGGCCCGAGGGCGGTCTGGGTGCGAGCCACGACGTTTGAGCTGAAGCAGCGACATGCCAGCCACGACCTCGTTTGGTTGCCATGATTCTACGGTGCTTTGTTGCTTTTCTAGGAAATGACCATTGAAAATCCATTGAAAGATAGGGAGGTCGATCTTCGGACAGCTCGAAGCAACGATTTGGCGATGTAAAAGGGATTCTTTTTTGACTAGCATCGTTCTCATAATCATTATATGTGTTCATTATACACATTCTTATTAGTATCATGATCATTACCACTATGATTGTTACTATCATGTATTAGTGTTGTTACTCTTGTCATTGCTTACTAGTGCCACTATTGTTACTAGTACTACAACCATCATTACTTCTAGGTGAATATAACAATATATATATATATAACAATATATATATATAACAATATATATATATTGTTATATATATATATTATATTTTTTTCATACATATATCACATACATACGTATATATATATGTATATATGTGCATACCCTACATTAATCCATAACCTGCAGCTGGTTCAACCACGCGCTCGCGCTCTTTCGGCAGCGGGTCCCCCGCTTCGGCCCCCTTCAGGGGCCCCCATGTTCGCTAGCGCCGCGCGGGGCCTGGCGCCTTCAACGCGAACTCAGAAGTTGGTACCCTCTGGTAATGACTAACATAGCTATTGAAAATGACCATTTATAGATGGTTTACCTGGGTTTACCTATTAAAAATGGTGATTTTCCATAGTTATGTAAACGTTTACCAGAGGGTATATCAATGGTAAATGATATCCCATATTAATGGTATTTTGATGGCGAATCTCAGAGTTCACAAAGAGTTTTGTTGGTTCATAGTGGTTTTTCATGCTGTGAACGTGCATATGACCTGTAATTAATTTTTTGTCAAAATGGATTGATTTCCCCTGGAAAATAGCAATGTTTCTTGCCCACCAATCTGGACTTTCCAATCAGATGGGCTAGCTGGCCATGCTTCTGCCGCTCACGCTCAAGCCGCTCGTGATTTCACGAAGGCGGTGCAAGGCGTACCTTGGCCCATGTCATTTTAAGCGTGTTCAGGATGTCAAAATTTGATGGGAACGGTTTATAAAGTTTATCCTAGCTATTGAGAATGGCCCATTTAGTTCGTTGATTTACCTTTTTTCAGGATGGTGATTTTCCATAGCTATGTTAGTTTACCAGAGGGTATACGGCCCAAAATGAATCAATATCAATGATACCATCAACTGCCAAAGGTCATGTTGATCTTGGAGGTGAAATGAAGCATCAAAGGTGGAGTCCGATTTTAACCGACCAAATCTGTCAGATTTCAACCCTTTCTTGCCTGAAACAAGATGGTTCTGTATCTTGGGATGCCCAAGAGGGTCGCAGCAAATCCTGATAGCAGTGCAACCTCTGGATGGTCCATGTATGTGATGCCTAACCAAAAATAACAGATCACGTGGTTTCTCATTTTTGAGGATGGCTCCAAAAAAAACTGATACTCCCAAAATTCTTTGACTAAATTAAACCGTTAGGAGTATCAAATTACCAAAATGTTCGTTAGATTAACCCAAACTCTGCACTCCCCGAAAAAAACATCATCTCCAGCGACCTGTCCTTATCACCCGTGCGGCCCTTGGCGTCCCTGGCAGGTATTAATAGCCCACCTTAGCGGTCTCGGTCAATGGGATGGATCCCCAAGCTGAATGGGGAAGAGAACATCGTTTTTACCATGGGATGCCAGATGCTCTATGACCAACTCAAAAACGATCATGTCAAATATAGCTCTGACATATTACCCGAAAAAATATAGGAAAATGGATGAACATGCAATTTTTAGATAGCCACATGTGGATTAAAAAAACAAATTGGATAGCCCTTAAACATGCAAAATCGTGGATTTAGAAAGCCAAACCTTTGGTTTTTTTACAAAACACCGAGGTTTCAAACCAAGATCGACCCACTTTGGTTTCTGCCTTTTTGTGTTGATGTGAGGAAGAAAAATGGGGCCCCAAAGACCATCGGATATCTTGAACTCATTTTCTGACATGCCCATGAAAAAAAAGTGCATCCTTAAAACAATCCTCCAAGAATGAATGAAATGGCAGGAAATTCAACAACCCCAACCCTCGATTGCCCAAATCTTGTTCACTATTTGGCTATATAGTGCCTCCCTCCGCTCTGCCACATTCGATCAACCACTCGAAAAAACTATGCCGTCCATTCCTAGGTGTGGGTCCAAAGCATTAACCCAAAAGAAAAAATAGGTCCTGACTACTCAAAACAATCGAGGTCATAGTCTAGTATACTCACAATCAGCTGCTTAGTTGGGTAGTCAAAGTTGGCAATACGAATGCATACGACTACGACTACTACAAATGACCAATTCCGTGATGTGCATCCCACTTAGCAATTCATGGTTGACCCATGAGTCTCACCGGCTTTTGTTTTCCATATAATACAACTGGGCTATTTCATAAGGGTTTGTCTGAAAATGGAATACCCTATTCCATCCCATAGTCTATATGGACACACCTAGAATAGCTGGTTTTTGGCTGGATGTTTTTTCTCCAGTCATATGGTACAGTCATTTCATAGCTTTTGACCCATCCTCAAATCAACACCTCAGAATAAATACGGAACACTATATATATATGTATAATCATGCATATATATATGTATAATCATATATATATAATCATATATATATACATAATCATACGCTATTTCAAGCCACAACTGGATCATCAAAACTGGCCACCGCACCAAATCTCGCACACCGGCCCACTCTTTGGGCGCATCAAAGTCGTGGGGGAACTGCGACGGGGCCACCGAAGTTGGGCCACTATTTTCATCGGCATCCCAATGGATGGAAATATAAATATCATGTCCCAATTAGTAAGGAAATATGGATATAACTTGATATAAATTGATTTTTGACATTCCGAATTTTCTTGGATTTCTTGGAAATCTAGATCTTAATCGTTCACATCTTCAGTGATTAAGCCTGGGCTGTTCAATTGGTGACCATTTTAGTCGCAAATGACATCGCTTTTGGTGGCTCCAAGCCCTGCTTGATCGTTTCCAGAGTGAAGATTGATCGTTTCCAAGTGGAAATACCATCTGGCAATCGTTTACGTGGCCATGGAAAACATCCCCATCTTCATGGGAAAAGACTTCGGGAACTCATGTTTTTTTGAATTTATATAACTCTATAGTCTTTGATTGTAGATTTTCGCCATTGGTTGATCATCGTGGATTTTCGCCATGGAGAACTTGCCAGCGCAGCTCCGTGCCTCCATAAACTTCAACAAGGCCATGCAAGGCCCATCAGTCGGAGCCAGGCGGCTTCGAATGTCCATCCTCGGTGTCCACCATCGGTTGAAACCATCGGAAACCATCTGAAAAATCACCGAAAGGAAGACTCTGTGGGCTACTTTGCAGCATAACTAAAATACATATGGCAGTGGGTCAAAACCCTGGTACCTAGTGAACCCCAAAATAGCTGGTAAATGGATGTTCATCCCTCTAAAAATGGTATTAATAGGTATTGATTCATAGCCATATAAATACATTAAGATATGAGGTGTGCTCGGGATCTTTATGAATTTGTTACCAAATTGCTGGCCAAACAAATTGGAGTTCAGCACAACTGGCAAGCAGCTAGTGGACCAACCGAACTCGGGTGTCAACCAACGTATCACCCAACAAAGAGTATATGTAAGGCAACCAGCGAAGATCAGGATGAAACGGAGGAAAGACAGGGATACGAACTCAGAAACCAGGAGGCGCCAAGACTACTCCAACTTTGGCCATGACATGACCAACAAAATGCACCAACTAAACGCAAGATTTATTAACAAAAACCATTCCAAAGACCAAATCCAACAAAACATTGCAATTCCTATGCGTTTTACTAAAAAAGGCACGACTTTTCAAATCAAGTGCTCCCCAGCTATTTACGATGATTTCCAAATTTTAGGCACGACTTTAGCATTCCACTGTAGGGATGTGATGGCATGTGTCACCTTGGTATTCACTCTGACCTGGGACGGAGCGACTCTGAAGTGTTTTTAAAACCTGGTAACTGGCGCGATGAAGCCTTGCTTGGCTTATGGAATCCAAAATCTTCAGTGTTTCTCAATCAAGTTTCTCAAGCGTAGCTGAGTCCATGTTAACCCCAAACCTAGGAATATTTAGTCTCTATATCTGACATTTCTGAGACTTTTGATGGATCCAGATGGTTTTGTCAAATAAAATAGGACGCAACAAAAATAATCTTCATCCTTGTCCCCATTATATAAAATGGGCATTTCAGACACACAAAAAAGCCAAGTTGAGCCAAGACGTTCGCCGTTTCTGAGGGTCGCACAGAATCCGCCGGGCGACCTGCCATTCTCCTTGAGAGTAGTTCTGGTAGCCCATGTTGAAGAGTTGGAAAAACTCCACCTGAGAACGTGATCGAATGATGAAAAACATGAAAAACATTATCATAATGGTGCCCCCCAGTTATAAGTTGGTTTATAAATTTATCCGCCGACCCCGGCCGACGCAAGGGGGAGCGCGTAAGGGAAAAAGATGTATTGCACTGCGACTACTTCTACTTCTACTACTACTACCTACTACTACCTACTACTACCTACTACTACCTACTACTACCTACTACTACCTACTACTACCTACTACTACCTACTACTACCTATTACTACTACTACTACTACTACTACTACTACTACTACTACTACTACTACTACTACTACCCATCCGTTCTTCAGAGCCAGGGTGTTTTCCTGCCGGGAGCTGCTTTTTCAGGGCCACTGTGTTTCCCCTCCGGAAGGGTGCGTTTTCAGTCTCGGGGGGAAGATCAGCAGCAGCAACGGGAGCAGCAGGAGGGTTCTATATCTTATCTTATTGTACATACTACTACTACTACTACTACTACTACTACTACTACTACTACTACTACTACTACTACTACTACTACTACTACTACTACTACTACTACTCCTGCTACTACTACTACT